AAGGGTCCAAGCCCACCGCCCGCCACCCGGCGCCCGCCCGCTGCCTACCTTCTGCGGCTTGCTCTGGGCCGGCTGGGCCCTGGAGGAGAAGGGAAGGCGTGACGGGGGCCGGGCCGTGGGGGTCCCACCGCCAGGGCCCGGCCAGCGCCCGCATACCTGCTGAGGCCCAGGCGGAGGCGCTCCCCACAGGCCCGGATCTTGTTCTGGGCCTCGATGTGGGTGAGGCTCCCTGCGTTCTCGCCGTCGATGCTCAGCACCCAGTCGCCCACGACCACTCCGGCCTGCGCCGCTTTGCCTCCAGGAGTGAGCTGTGGAGGGTCGAAGGGTGACGGGGGCCCAGGCCTCCTCCAACCAAGCTGAGGCCTGCAGCAGTCAACTCTGCCCTACTCTGGGCGGCTTCGCTCCAGCATCGAGCCCCTTCATTCGATACATTTCTTGGCAGCCGCTGGATCTACAGCAAGCTCGGAGGTGGGACGATTACCCCATCACACGGCCTGTAAACCTGTGCGCCTCCACGACCCTCCCTCCCCGTACAGAAATTGCTATGGTACCAACAGCCACCCTCCGGCTAAAGTCCCTCAGCCAGGACCACAGCCTCGGGGCCCCTCCGGGCTCTCCCACCCACTAGATGAGCCTTCTGGCCTGTGCATGCGGCAACTTCCTCCCTGACACCGCTGGGTGCTCTCACTGCTCTCTTATACCCCAGCACCCTTTCCTGGGGCCATCTGCGGGGCTCGGCCAGGACCCTTGAGGGCCAGGAGTGGCCAGGTTCCCTGTAAACGGAGAGTGCCTGAATGGAGCCTAAGGTGACAGCTGGGACTTCCTAAGCTGTGATTAGGTGTCACCCCCCCCCAGCTGCCACACCAGTGCCCTGTCCCCAGTCCTTCAAGCTGAACTGGAAATCCCTGGTTCGTATGGCAAATGAGGAGACAGATGGGGAGAAGCGGTTGCTACCAGCACTGGTCAACACCATCAGGGATAGTTTCTGGGAAGCGGAGGGCCTTGGTGACAGATGGGGTGTGCTGCCTAGGGGGCGAGAGCCTCCTTGTTGTGGCTTCATCATATGCCAGGGGAAGGAACCAAGACTAGGCCCTGAGGGCAGAGGGGAAATTAGCAGTTTTGCGGGGTCTTTTCCTGAGTTGGAGTCCCACTCTGTCGCCCAGGCTGGAGTGCAGTGGCACACTCATGACCAGCGTGGCCTTGACCTGCTGGGCTCAGGCGATCCTTCCACCTCAGCCTTCCAAGTAGCTGGAACCACAAGCGTGCACCATCATGCCCGGCTGATTTATTTATTGATTTATTATAGAGATGAGGTCTTGCCATATTGCTCAGGCTGGTCTCGAATTCCTGAGGCCATGGAACACTCTCACCTCCGCCTCCAAAAGTGCTGGGATTACAGGCATGAGCCACTGCACCTGGCTGGACACTAGCAGTTTTAAGGCCGGGATGGCGTCTTTCCCAGGCCCCTGATAGAGGTGACCCTGAAAAACCCCACTGGCCCCTTACAGCCCCATCAGCTCAAGCAGGGTGGCTCCATGGGTCTGAACCCACAGGGCAACCCAACCTTCTGCGAAGAGCCTGGCACCGCATTGAACAGACTTTCGTAGGACAGTGCTGGAAGAGTGGGGGTATGGGGCATCCAGGCTGCTGGAGACCCCAGGAGGCTCCTCGGGTGGGCCAGTGCAGATGAACTGAGACAGGGAGAGGGGAGGCAAGAGGTTCCAGAGAGACATCAGAGGGCAGAGCGGTGGGACACGGAGGCTGACTGCAATGCGAAGAGAAGGGGGGGGTGGGCTTGGCAACTACCTCATGCCTGCACGGGAGGTTAGAAGAGTGAGGAGACGGGTGGCCCTTCGCTCACTAAATAGTAAGTAAGAAGGGCACCTGGTATTGCCACACAAGTGACACAGAATCCTTCAACAGTCCTGTGGAGTAGCCTAGGGCTATACCCATCTTGCACTTGAGAAACCAGAGAGGTGAAGCAACTTGCCTCAAGTCACCCAGGTGGTAGGAGACAAGGCCAGGAACTGACCCTGACCTTAAGGCCCCACCACTCCAGGCCACCTCTGCGGAGCATGGGCTTAACTGAGGGCTCAGCGACTGGGAAAGACCCCTTGAGCCCCGGGCTGGGTTTGGACCCTGGACCCCCATCTCACCTTCAGTTCTAGCCAACCCCTTACAATGGGCATGAGGAAGTGACGCCCTAGAGGGGAAGTGACTTACTCAAGGTCGTGGTGAGTCAGAAGGGAGACCTGGTACAGCCACTCCCTGCCCACAAGGGCTAGCTCCTGGGAGGTGTGGGCGGAGCCAGAGGTGGGGGTAGTGGGGATGAGGTGGGGGGTCAGGGCGATTTCCTTCCCTGAAGTGAGGAGGCAGGAAGCACATGGAATGGGGGAGGGGTCAGAGCAGCAGAGAGTGCTCCTAGGGGAGGTGGCTGGAGAGGGGGGTGGGGAGGAGCTCAGGCCAGGGACCGAGTGAGGCCAGAGGGACCAAGGAGGGGAAAAGCCATGGCTGGACCCTGCACGGGGTGGGGGTGAGTCAGACTGAGCAGCCCAACCCCCCAGCCCCAGACATTACCTCATCTCCCAGGCCTGGGCTCCTGGCCAGCCCTAGCCCCTCCCTCCTCCCTCGTTCTGGGGTCAGGGGAGGGGGAGGGGGCCCAGCCTAGCTCAGAAGAGACCACCCCACCCACTCACCTGGGACCAGACCCAACCCCGCGGCTGGGCTCGGCTGGTGGCCCTGCCCACATGCTGGGCGGTGGACAAGGGAACCTGGGCCCAGAGTGCCCCCAGCTGGCCACATCTGAGAGTCATCCCATTGGGGAAGAGGCTGAGACACACTGGCCAGCGCTTTCCCAGGGAAGGGATGGAGGATAGGTTTTCGGAGTTGACAAGGCATGAGGACTGTGTGTGGGGTGTGTGTGTGTAGTATGGTGGCTGCCCTTAGCCAGCCACTCCTGGCAGGAGAACCTCACGGAAGGATCCCTGGGAAGAGCACTGCCTGCTGTCCTGGCCACTAAGCCCAACTCCCACAGACAGACTCTGCCTTGAGGTCCTCTCAGGCTGGGTAGTGCCCAGACAACCCTCCAGACCCCTTCAAGCTGGGCTTGCCCTGGGCTTCCCGCCAACAGCTGCCTGCCCACCGGGCGCCTGGGTGGGTCTCTCTGGGCAGGCGGATGTAGGGACAGGAAGTCCCCACCCCCTCCTGACCCCTAGGCCACAGTCCGAGATACCAGCCCAGGGGCTGGCCTCCCCCTCTCTGGGTAGGCAGTTGATTCTGTCCCACAGTCGGACCGTACACTGCTGGAACTGCGGGCTGGTGACCAACCGAGGGGCCACAGATAGGGCCCAGAGGTCCAGGACTAGGCCAGCCCTTTTCGGCTCTGCACTCCAGCCACTACGGCCATCCCAGGCCATCCCAGCATGGGGCTGCATTCTTGGGCTTATAAGGCAATCCCCTGCCACAGGGAGGAGCCAGTTCCAGCTCCGCCCCCACTAGGGCAGGCTCTTGGAGCTACAGTTGGGGCCCCAGAGCTGAGCTGAGCCCCCACTTCTGCATGGCCACAGCATCTGAATGGGACCAGCAGGCGGGGACACAGGTCCTCACAGGCTGGAGAGAGACCCCTTTTCCCACCCACCAAAAGTACAGGCCGCCCCGTGCCTCAGTTCAAATCCCTGCTTTGCCATGGACACAGTAAAGGAGCCCTCCACCTCCCACGTTTCCGTTCCCTCATCTGGAAGCACAAGAGGACGCTTGCTGGTCCCGGTGGCAGTGAGGGTGAAGTGAGATTCCCATCCTCAGGCACCCTGTGGGGAGCTGGGTCTCAAGCACTACTCCCTCAAGCTGACAGCCTTCCTGGCGGCTTCAGGCTCCCGCCCGGCCTGCAAAATGGGCCTCCCCGGCCCTCAGAGGTGGCCAGAGGAGCCGGGAGAAATGACACCAGGTCCACGGACTCCTCTCCCATGACCACCTTGTTGGGAGTCCTCACGGCAGGCACCACGCCAACTCCAGACCTGGACATCTCCCGGCCTGCTGGCCCCTGGCTCCCTCCTGATCAGATTCCTCCCAGGGCCCAAAGGCCCACGGGGGAGCCCCTCCCCCAACCAGGCTCACCCGGGAGATGGAGAGGGGCACGTTAAAGTCCTTGCCCCCTTGCAGGCGGAAGCCCCAAGGCGCTGGCCCCTCCAGCACTACTTTGAAGGAATCCATGCTGCCAGCTCCTGAGAGGAGAGAAGAGGTGGTGAGTGGCTGGCAAGGCTGGTGGACAGGCAAGCAGGCTCTCCTCGGACGCTAGCCTTGGGCGGGGGCCCAGCAGGCACAGGCAGGCAGGTATCTATCTTGTCAGGCCTGGCTGGGGGCGGGCTGGCAGACCTCACTGCGGAAGGCAGGGGCGGCCTGCCGCCCCCCGGGGCTGGCTGGGGGGGGGAGGGCTGCCCCGCCAGGCCCGGGGGGCCT